TCCCCCTTTTTCATTCTCTGATCCCTCCAGCTCCCCCGCACCCTGGCAGTAGTATCAGAATCCATCCATTGTACATGAGCAGGCTTTTTGGAGCCCACTACCTATGATGGGATACCTTGCATAGCCTTGAGGCAGAGGGAAGAGCTTGGACCCTCTACTAAATGTACCTCCCCAAGGGAGGCCTTACTTTCTTGTAGAAGGGAATAGGGGGTTGGTTTGGGAGATGATGACAGTTTTTAAAAAAATAATTTTTATTGAAGAAATGCAGCCTTAGATGCTTGGAATTTTATTTGAAAGACCGTGTTTATAAGTAGTAACAGTGGAGAATCTTTCATACTAAGTATCTTTAGGTCATGCATATTATGAAACTAATTTGGAGACAGATTATTATATAATTTGAATATGAGAACTGAAATATGCTACATTCAGCCCTGTCTTTGAAGCATGCCTAACTGGTAAATGGAAGTCTGATTTTGTGGACCCTAAGAACAATAACACTGGAATGAGGAGGTACGTAATGCTCATGTATTTGTTCTAAATCAGTTTGTAACAGTTTCCTCTCTTCACTTCAGATTCATATAGTTAGCTCTAAGATCTTGGCAACCTTCTCTGTATCTCCCTTTCTCTTTCACAAAACAGACATGTTTTAAAATATAGGAAAAGCTAAATATGGCTTTTAGATTTTTCTATTCTAGACCAAATACTGATAGGAAATTGCCTGCTCCTAACTGAACTTGGGAACCTCATAAAAAGGTTATTTATTCAACATTTTGATCTTGATTTTGAAAATAATTTAGGCACATTCAGTAGGCATACAGCATCCCCTGAACCAAGTATCAGCTGAAATTAATTCCCAATGGTGATCTTGAAAAAGAAATAATGTTCATATCCTCCTCCAAAAGATACACGACACTGTTTTAAATCATGGGTCATTATTCCTTGGCACTTTATCACTTTTGTCAAGTAAGTTTATTCTAAAACAAGACACAAAAGAAGAATAAAGGTCATGAATATCAATGTCCATAATATAATTACTCTGCTTTATGTATCTTAACTTTTTACTGGCCCTCCTCAATACTTCCTGCTCCTTGAGGTAATCCTCCTAGAATTCTTATGAATTAGTCAAGAAATATCAAGAGAAAATAAGACTGAAAAAACATGAGAAACAAGCTATCAACTTTTATATTGTCATTACCTATCTTCAATTATGAGATTCAGATACATCGCCATTTTCTTGGCTCTTTAGTGAAATGAACACGAGCTAGTCAAACAAAATTTTCTTTTCCTTTATAAATTGTATCCACAAAGTACCCAAATATAAAAATAGCTACATGAAACATGAGTATCAACACACAATTGCAGTCCTTGTTTCATATTTCAGCACAAATAAAAATGACTAAATCATTTTGCATATAAAGAGACTAAAATCTTTTGCATATAAAGGAACAAAGAGTTTTATTTTGTATTTATCATCATGTTTTTAAGTAATGTAATTCAATAGCTTTCTCAGTGAAGATCATCTTGCTTAATTATAAGGTTATATAAATATTAAAGCTCAAGAGATAGTGATTTTCTTTGCTTGGCTCATCTGATATTTTGTATTGTTAACAGCATAAAATTAATTTCCTAAAACTTAAATACATTTTAATTAAAAATCATTAAACAGCATCAGATAGCAAATATGTCAATTTTATCTGACTGTACTCCAAAACTTTTCATTTGTATTTTATAGAGGAAATTATAGTCCTGTGACAGAAGCATATCAAATATTGCAGTATGTTAGAAACATGCTCAAAAATAGAAATTCACTATTTTCTAATAATGTGACCACTCAGTAGGCCTGTGTTCTTTAAAATGTATGTGTCAACACAGTGGTTGGTGGGCAATGTTTTGCTTCTTAGTCATTCCTGGAAGTGCCTGAACACTTATGGGAATGATAGTGCTGTGTCATTGCAAATTGATTGAATCTGTGACATGTTCCTGGAAGTCACTTCATGGAACACTATTATATCAGAGATGAAGGAAAATTACTGTAGGAGAGAGGAAATAAGCTCATTGTGCTGGACAACAGTGATCATTTCAAATATTATAAAGGATGTCACTTATTTCTGCCTCAGTGAAACCACCTTCCTTTGTATCAATATTATTAAGGTGTAGCCATTCTGAAAAAAAACTGACTTACTTCTAAGAAATATGTGCTAGATACACTATCAAAGTATATCCATGGCTTTGCTAAAGCTGAAATTCTATGTTTAAAAACTTTTTATAAACATTGTTACAGTCATACATCACACATCCATGCAAAACAATGCATATACACACATGTACACCCACAAATAAATAAATAATTTCGGTGAAAATGGACTGCCTTACTATGTGCTTTGCTGTAAATAATAAGTGCCTGAATCCATTTAGTTATTATATGATTTATGATGTTAATATTAGAGCCTTATAAATGCTTTAAGTAGGAAAAATATTCAGTAATTTTAGGTAATGATTGTAGATTCCTGAGTGTGTGAATGGGTGAGTGTCTGTGTCTACATTTGTTTCCTGTGCCCTTTCTTAGACTGTTTTCCTTCTCGTTTTTATCCTATTCTACTGTGTTAGTTTTGTATTATCTTCTGTATTATATCATATTTGACTGTATTATATTATATTATTATATTATATTTTTATACCTTAGAAACTTGATTGTTTTCTAATAAGAGACAGAAAGGACTTATATAGTAAGGAAGAACTAGGAATAGCAAAGGAAGCCATAATCAGGATATATTATTTTAGAAAAAAAAACTTCATTCAATAAAAAATAATTTATCTATATGTCTATCTATATCTATCCATATATATGAGTCTATCAATATATCTACATATATAATGAGTTTGGAAGAAATGGATAAGAATATACATTTATATTCACCATTTTCAATAAACCCTAATGATTTTATAACTGATCCACATGAGGTACATTAATAATTTAAAGAGTTTTGTAGATAATATAGAGTGCATTTTTAAAGAATATTATATAGTGTATCTTCTATATAGTAAAGAATTTTATTGTATATTCATAACGTATGACTAAGTTTTACTACACAATCATAAAAGGGACAATTTTATGAGCAAACTGCACCCATTCCTAGTGTGAAATATATACTAGTATTGCAATCTTCTCATTTTCTATTGCTTCAGTAATTGTCTTTGGCTTCGATGTTTTCTTGTATTTTGCCAAGGACATTGCAGGGTATTTTAGCAAAAGATAATATCTTCAGAAGAATTTGTGGTGTAATTCTGATATGATCAAACTTTATATCCTTTTTCCAAACACTTGTCCTCACACTGCCTGCAAATTCAGAGGACATCAGTTCTAAGACTAGATTGAAATGAGAACCAATCTTCTTCCCCAGAAAATCCAACAGGACTAGTTCCAGTAAGATTGACATTTCACTAACATTAGCTTTCTCTACATCTGCTCCCTAATGCACTACCACCTTAACAAACTCCATCAGAGTACAAAGTTTCAAATTGCACCCCACTACCAATCTTGTCTGCATTTCCAATCACCCTTCCTTTCTCAGGAACAATCTTAATTCTTGAGATCACTGGCTTACATGCTATTTTTTCACGTGTTATCATTCTTCAAATCATTATCTCTATGAATGATCTGTCCAGCATCCTGAATCACCTTTCCTTGTGTTCATTTTCATTGTTTCTTCAACATTATACTTCTAAGGGGATTTCCTAAAGCTTGGCATTATAACAAAGTCTTAATTTCAGATTTAAACACCCCTTCATTTAGAACTGTCTGCAATACTCAAAGCTGATTTCCTTCGTTAATACTCAAGTTAATTAATCTAATTTTCCTAAGTGAATTTCACAATTTAGTTTTTAAACAGAGCAAAGTCCCATAGGCCCATTTTCCCAGTTTCCACTAAAAACCTTATTCTATCAATTCCTTTCCACTGATAAGCACTCAAGACGCTTGATATTAGCGCTGAAATCAAAATCTTCCTTGCTTTTTTTTTTTGTATTATAGTCAATGCCATTCCTTCTCAACATTACTACGGTAATGACTGATGCCATTCCATACAATTCCTATATTAAATTAGAAAATATATTGGGCATTATGATAATTCCCAGTCAGATGATACTAGAAATAACAATTATAGGTTAAATTCTCCCTATTGTCAATATGAAAGGCTCTGTTCTCTTTCATGCTTTTACTTAACTATGAAGAACAAAAACAAGCTCTGGCTTATTTTCTCATTTCTAGAGTACAATATACATTTTGGATATTTAACACACATGCACTTTCAATTAGTTATTTTTATCTGTTATTCATAGAATGAATAAATTCTTTACATTATGTGTTATATCCTACCCCATGTGACTAAAGCACACCCTTACCTGCTACAAATTTTATCTCCCCCTTTTACTACATTAGTAATTTTTACATTGTTATCTGTGTTAAGTCTTGTACCCTGTATCATTTTCCACCTTAACAATGCTAAAAGCAACCACACAATTTTTCTTAAAATTTTTTACCCTCCTCAGTTTACGTGTAATGGTATCATTTGAAGCAAAATTGCATAAATAATGTATGCATAAACACTAGTTCATCAATTTCTATTACTGTTGAGCTTTATCCAGTTGCTCTCAGCACTCTTTTCAAAGAAGCTACTTTGAAGGTCACTAATGACCTCCATCGTCTACATGCCATTGATTATTCTATAGCCACAACTTCATTTGAGTGATCAGATATTTAAATTTATGTTCCTTGCTTTACAAAACTACTCTCATTAAATTATGCAGAAGCTACATTCCCCTGCTCTCCTCTTGGTTTGCAATCTTCTTTAATGAATCTCTTAAACCAATATGCAAATTCAGAAGAGTATTCCAGAATGTGTCTTAGCACAGATTTTATTCTCTATTATTTCTTGGTGATCTTATTCAGACCAGTGTAATGTAAAGAAAGTAAAATCCTCAGTATATTAAATTCTATATCTTTCCATGAGGTACATTTGTTGTGTGTTGTGTGTGTGTTTCTGTGTTCAGTTTTTTTTGTTTTTGTTTTTGTTTTTGTTTTGTTTTTTTGCCATTTCTTCATCTGTAAGACAATCTGAGAGGTTATCATTATGGAGATTCATTTAAACCAAGGTCCATTTAATCTATGATGATGCAAAAGGTATTTCCCAGATCCACTTTCTAGATGACTTCCTGTAAATTTCTGTTGATTGGGGATAGTGGCAGGATGTTAAAAGTTGGCAGGAGCTACAAAATATTTTATAGCTTCCAAACATGCCCCTGGCAATGATGACAGTTACAGAAACAGCTGTGTTGAACTTGGGACGCAGGGACAACAGTAGAAGCAGCAACAGGCAGGGGTATCAGCAATTAAGGCACTGGTACAGAGGGAAAGAGGACGTCATCGCTTTCTGTTGAGCCTGTGGACAGCAGAGATTTGTCAAAAAAAAAACATCTCTGGTTTATCAAAATCCCTCCACCCCTTTCACCGTACTCTAGTTATTTATCATTTAGGAACCTTATCTATTCATATTTGTCCCCAAAGTTCTTTGGAACACCAAATTCCCTAAATTAAATTCTACCAATCTCAGTTCATATAGTAGAGTCTCTTTGCATATTTGTTATTTACTGAGTGAGACTATGAGGAAATTCATATTTGAAGTTATTTTACTGAAGTAATAGAGATTAAAACATGATGATCTCATTATTGGTGAATGATAAAATTAAAACAGAGATTGGTAGTGCTGGAAGACAATTTGGGAGACTGATAACTTTGTCACACATATTCAATTAGGAACAGATTTTGGTTTGGACATAATAATTTCATTCTTTTGGTAAGGAAAGGTAAGTGGTCATTGTCTTTTGTTGTGTAATCAAAGAGATGTCAGGAGATCTTTTTTCATTCAGTTAACAATTTTCTTTCCCCTATTCTTTTTGTTTATTACCTTTCAAGATGCAAAACCTATAATTTATATGCAAAAGTCTGTTCCCCAGAAAACTGCCTTGTTCTATCCTTCTACTGTAAATGATTAGTAAAAGGATTAAAAGAAAAAAAGAAAATTCTGGCTAGTTTCTGTTTGCTTGTTTTTTCCTTTGATGATATGACTAATGTTTGAATAACTATGACTTCTTTGTTAAATCACCTTTGGTACTGCAATAACAAACATGACATCCTAGCTCATTACTAAGATATTTTACCCATTTGGGGGTACCCTGAGGATCCTGGGTCCTGTTCCTTAAATGTATAACTCATATTTGCAAAATTGTCCCTCGTATACATCTTTACTGTCTCAGTATATTACATTTGTGCAACAAATACTACTCACTAGGCTGGTCTCAAACTCACAGATATCTGCCTGCTTCTGCCTCCAGAATGCTGGGATTAAGGGAGTATGCCACGCTGCCCAGATCAAATGTTAATCACCTTGCAGAAGGAAATATTAAAGGTGATATTCTGCTTCATAGAGCCCATTCTCATATCTTCTGCAAAGAAGACACTTTCCAAACTACTCTCAAGGGGTGTCAGGTATATGCTTTGGTGAAATTATTAATACTTTCTATAGTTATTTGTCACAAAAATTATTGTGACTGCACATAACCCCTTGCATTAATATATTCATGGTAAAATAGGTTAGAGAAAAGGGGCAGTTTTAGAACATTCTTAGTTTCATTGACTAGTCATTAATGGAATCTCCATTTTAAGTCATGTCTTTCTCCAGAATTTCTATCTGAGAAGGTTCTATGTCATTTATGTGGTTTTTAAACATAAACACTGTCTGTTTGTCTCACATTACACATAAAAAGAATGTTAGAAAATGCTGCTCTCTGAAACCTTTCTAGAAAAGCTTTCACCATGATTGGAGGCGGCACCACTTCTAAGCCCTGTCACAATCAAGTCCTGCTTACTAACTGTCTGGCTTGAATGTGTTTTCTGGGAATTCAAACTTTGTTCCTAATGCATTGTGCTATATCCACTGAGCCTTCTCTTTCCCTATATAGTTTTTAAAATGATATATTGTTTCTATTAACAAATATTTGTTAATTAATATGTATGATATACACTTTGCATTGTCATGTGATTAGCTAATATATATGTTTAAACAGGTGAGATTTATTTATATAGAAGCATACTTATAAAAATAGCAATTTAAATTTTATATAAAATTAGCTTATTTCATGGCATTATTGAATTCTACATATAAAAGCAGGATGTAAAATAATATATGGCGCAAGTAAATCATTATAATACTTTTTAAATTTTATTATGATAAAACATTGTTCTCTTGAATAAAAATCATTCATGTGTAGATGATTTTTACTTAAGAAAGTGGTTCAATAACTTTTTCTTGATACCCTTGCTATGAAATATAAGAAAAAAACATTTTCTTATGAATGTTATCTGTGGATAATGTTGTATCTACAATGAGATAAAAAAAATCACGAAAATGAAATACCTCTGCTGCAAAACCAAATACTGCCAGGTTGGAGGAACAAAGAGCACACTGGCCAAGGGGAATTGCTGGCTTTTAAAAATGTCTCCTGATTTGCAATTTCCAGAGTGAGAATAATGCCATGTAACCATGAGCCAATCACAGAACCCATCTGATCTTAGGTGTGTACTGCTGTGATATACTCAATACTTCCAAGACCTCTTTACCACACCAGCACATACCAGCTATAGAAGGAGAAAAATGCTTTCACTTTTTCAGTGGGAGAGATTCTCATAAGTAAACGTCATTTTCTCTGATTTCAAGGGGCTTTCTTGGGAGATGTACGCAGTGTCTTGAATAGCCAGAGTGTACTATCATCACAGAAGAATCTTCACAATATTTAATGCCATGATACAATATTGGTATTTTAAAGATCAAATGGTGTAGAAAATTATTCAGCTGTTTAAAGTTTGCCAGTTTTACTATACCTTTTCCTTCATTATATAAAATAATTCATAGTGATGTTTTGAAACCATATTGAATTCTATCAATGAATTCTGAGCAGAGTTTTGCTACCTGAATTTAATCACAGGGTAGATTTAAATTGCTTTGCCACTATTTTAAGCTGGTACACTCAATCTTTCATCTTTTGGATGTAATGTCCTGTCAACTTTATATCAAAGTAGCTTTCTAGTGGAAAAACCTTGAATTCATTTCTAAGTATTTTTTTCTTCCACATATATATATTGGGTCTCCTGAAGTTACTAATAAATGCAATCAATTATCCTTGAAAAAATAGCATTAAACCATAAATATGGAGAACTAGGGACTTATAAAACAATCTTAAATTTGGCTCTAGTGAATAGTTTGGTACACATTACAAAGTTGGATATAAGCATCATAGAGACCAAGCAACAAAATTGTTCTAACATTTTATTATTATTAAATAATCAATTGATTATTATGTTACTTTAAAACCCTATTTCAAAGCATTTTAAATTGTTTAAAGCTAATGGCCCATGTACTCCTATAAATGCCAGATATTTTCCATGATTACATCTAGATTTAATTAACATAAAATATATTGGGGTATACATCTCTCAGGCTCTATCTAAAATTCATTGAGACTCACCTTGTAGTAATAAACACCAAAATTATGAAAAAATAATTAAAAATAAATTATTGAAAATATATATTTTAAAATTTTTTATGTATGTGCACCACATGTATGCCTGGTGCCCATGGAGGCCAGAAGATGGCATCAGATATCCTGGTATTTATGGGTGGTGGTTAAGTGCTATGGGGTGGGAAGCATCAAATCCTGGACTTCTGATAGAGCAGAATATGGTCTTATTTGCTGTAATTCCTCGGTATCCTCTGGTGTGGGAAATTTTAATTTATTTAACTTAGTTGTTATCCTTTTTCTATATTGCCTGAGGACTGACAGCCATCTCTCTCTACTGAATATAAATAATTTCCTTTACCGATTGAGATTTTTAGTTAGTTAATACCAGACCACATTTTACATTGTTTTTTTCTCTCATGATATTTCTAATGTTTAACATTTCTAATTGGTCTTTTTTATGATAAATTTGTTAAAATCCTAGATTTCATCTTTTGTTTGATCTACCATTAGCTACTTTTGTAACAGTCATTTTCAAGTGCATCGTATAGGATGTTTGTTCTGTATCTAGACCTAACAGAGAGACTATTCTCTAGCCCCTAAAGGAGACATGATTTCTTGCCATTTCATGGTATGTTTACATTAAAAGATATGGAATATTTATTATATAAAAAGCTAGACACCATAGTATAGAAGACAGACCCCCTAGAAATTAGCACATTTTTCCTTTTTAAAAGTTTCTACAGTGGGATACTGTGCCAATCAGATGTTCCTTATAACTCACCTGGACTTTGTTGGAATTTAAGTTTGATATCTTCTTACCTGCTAGGTCTCTCCTTCCCTCCCTTTCTTCTCACTGATGGCTGAAGGACCTTTAATGACTAAAATATGCATGTAATCTCTCTACATCTCCATCCAGTTGTGGTTAAATTGGCTTGTTTATATCTCACTAACTTTAGAAGATTTAATGGTGTGTTGGGTAGTTGTAAGTCACCTCGACACAAGCTGGGATCACTGGAGATCTAGGAGCTCCTGTTGAGAAAATCACTCCATAACATTGGGCTATTAGCAAGCCTGTTGGTCATTTTCTTAATTAGTGATTGATGGAGGAGGGCCCAGCCTGTTGTGGGTGGGGCTACCCCTGGGCTGGTGGTCCAATTTTTATAGGAAAGCAGGCTGAGGAAGCCTTGAAAAGTGAGCCAGGAAACAGCCCTCTTCCATGGCCTCTGCCTCAGCTTCTGCCTCCAAGTTCCTGCCCAGTTTGACTTTCTGTCCAGACTTTCTTTGATATGGAACAGTGATGTAGAAATGTAAGTCAAACAAATGCTTTCCTTCCCCAGTAGATTTTGGCCATAATGTTTTATTATAGCAATAGAATCCATAAAGCTGACAAAAAAAAAATGATACCAAGTTTGTGGGGTACTGATGTAACAGACTTAATCCTATGTTTTTGGAGGATTGTGGAAGGATTTTGGAATTTTTGGGTTGTAAAATCCATTGGGCATTCAAACCTTGGTGATCTGTTCTGAGGAAGAATGTAAGATAAGAATATTAAGAGAAATGCATAGGATGGAGGCTTGGCTTGTGAAGTTTCAGAGGGAAGTTTGAGAGTCAGATCAAGTCTCTATCAGGGATGTTGCATATGCTGTTTTTTTTTTAATTTTTAAAATTTATTTATCTAAAAAAGTTTTTTTTTTCATTTTACATACCAATCACAGTTCCCCTTCCCTCCCCTGTTCCGACCCCCCACATCTCCCAATCTCACCCCCATCTACTCTTCAGAGAGGGAAAGGCCTCCGTCAGGGAGTCAACAAAGTCTGGTATACTAAGTGAGGCAGGACCAAGCCCCCCAAACCCCCACCCTTCC